GAGAGCTGGGACTGGTCAGCTCTTTTGCCTTGCAGGTGGTGGGCTGCCAGGACGGCACCATTTCCTTATACCAGCTGATTTTCAGCACGGTTCATGGGCTCTACAAGGACCGATATGCCTACAGGGACAGCATGACCGATGTCATCGTGCAGCACCTGATCACTGAGCAGAAAGGTGAGAGGGCTCCGGACTACCTGCTCTCCAGTGGCAAGGAAGGTCGCTGAGAGAGCTGGTCACAGGGCACGAGAGAGGGCAGGAAACGTCTTGCCTTGGCCTTTTGAAAACACATTAGACTCTGGGTCTTGCTGTTTTAGGCAGGAGCAGAGGGGACTTCTTTGGGGATCTTAGGAAATCGATAAAGTGCTCTAAAAAAGTACTCTAATACAGTGCTCTGTGAGCAATAAAGCATGAACGCAGTAAAGTGCTCTAAGAAAGTGCTCTGAGCTGCAGAGGACTCCGAGGAGCACAAGAGCCCTGAGGAAGGAGGGCGAGTCCAGGCAGAGCCAGGGCAGTGGCCTGCACGGGTCTTTGTGGACCTTCATTCTCTCTGGCTGGAGTTGTTTGGTGCTTCTCCATCAGCCTAGTCTGCTTGTCTCCTAGTGAATCTGCTCTCTTATTATTGTTTTTAAAAATTATTTATCTAATTTTACTTATCATAAATTTATTTATTTATTTATTTATTTATTTATTTTTGAGAGAGCTATTTGCTATAGGACGTGTACACTCACCAGAGAGACAGAGAAAGACAGAGGCAGAAAGTGAGAAATCACTCTCTGGGGGGATGGCCGTGCCACAATCCCTTCTCCTCCATTCTTCTCTCAGGATTTTGGGCACACGTGCACACCCATACCTGGCATGAGTTTTACAGAAAGCGAGAAATCACCCCCCAGGGGGGATGGTCACGCCGCAATCCCTTCTCCTCCATTCTCCTCTCGGGATCTTGGGCACGCACGCACACGCACCCGGCGTGAGTTTTAAGCCACCGGGTCTGGGACACGAACCGCGGTCGACTACGTGGGAGTCCAGCAACATAGCCATTACGCTAACTGCTGGTTCCCCAAGTGATGTAAACATTTCACCATCTGCTGGTCCCATTATTATTGTATTTTAATTTGCTATAGAGCACTTACACTCACCAGAGAGAGAGAAAGAAAGAGAAAGGGAGAAAGGTCAGAGGTTTGAATCAACCACAGCTGGCCGTGCATGTGGGAGTCCAGCGCCTTCGCCGCCACACCACCTGCTGACCTAGTGGGTCTTTCTCCCAGGAGATGAGCAGGGTCAGCGAGTTGGCTTAGGCTCGGTTAGAAGATCAGGGTTCCAGCCTAGTGCAGTCAGTCCAGGCTCTCGCCTCAGTCCCCGCCTCTGGTCATGTGAGTAGCAGTGTTGATTAGGTAGGCTAAGAATCCACTTAATTCAAGAGGATTCATGTCTAGATGTCTGGCCACAGTGCCCAGCTGGGTACCGTTGCATAGGGATCCAGGTTAGGAGTTGTCTGTAGATGCAAATGAGCGTGCTTTGGTCTCCATCTGGAAGCACCCTGTTTGAAGAACCCAGCGATGATGATGAGAGTCTAGCACTTGGGTGGCTCTCAGTGGCCCTTCTGGGGTTTTCCCAGCTGGTCTGTAGTGAGAGTGTATGGCGGAGCATGTCCCAGAAACGACACGCCACACCTCGTTGTTAGGAGGGGGTGCAGAGGGACCAGGGATGAGGTTCGTCCCTTAGGCGGGCTCTGGGTGGCCGGGGCCATTAGTGCTGTGCAGACTTGTCCATATTGATGTTCAGCCAGCAATCACAGCCCTGGGTGTTTTATTTTCTACTCAGTACTGTGCTTTGGACCACAGAAAGTGTGTATGACTTTGGTCCCTCCGCTCCCCAGAGCTGACTGTACATATTAGATGCTCCGTTAAGATTTTTAAATGAGAATATCTCACTTTAATTGTCAGTAACATTAAGTAAATGATAGCTTTTAATTTCTCTGCCTTCCACCTTACTTAACAACCTCTTGCTAGAACTGGATTTTCTTTTCTTTGACAGTTCGGATTAAATGCAAAGAGCTTGTCAAGAAAATTGCCATCTACAAAAATCGATTAGCTATCCAACTGCCAGAGAAAATCCTCATCTACGAGTTGTACTCAGATGACTCGTCAGACATGCATTACCGGGTGAAGGAGAAGATCGTCAAGAAGTTTGAGTGCAACCTCCTGGTGGTGTGTGCCCAACACATCATCCTGTGCCAGGTGGGCAGCAGCGTGTGGAGGGGCTGGACTGACTCTGCTCCCTCCCCCCAGGATAGGGACCTGTCCCACCTTGTGATTTCTCACAGGTCCCCAGGAGACAAGGCCCTTCCCATCAACCTCAGGGGCTGTTGGCTGGCTTTCGTTTTTCTGAATCTAGAGAGGTCAGACTCTACTACACAACCGTTAACCATACATTGGAGAGTACTTTTCCTCTCAGCGTTTGTCAGACTCGGATTAGATTTTTCTTTTTTTTTTTGAGAGGTTTTTGCTATAGGGCACATGCACTTGCCAGAAAGACAGAGAGAGACAGAGAGACAGAAAGTGAGAAATCACCCTCCAGGGGGGGATGGTCACACCACAATTCCTTCTCGTTCATTCTCCTCTCGGGATCTTGGGCACGCATGCATATGTGCCCGGTGTGAAGTTAAGCTATCGGGTCCAGGACTCGAACTGCGGTCAACTACATGGGAGTCCAGAGACGTAGCCATTACGCCATCTGCTGGTCCCGAGATTAGATTTATTTTAATGACTTGAAGCATAAATTGGTGTCCGACAAAATGAAGATCAATTTTTAAATAAGCATGTACACAAAAATTGTATATGAATTCAATAATAATCAAAGATGTTTTGCTTCCTAAGAGATTTGTTTCACAGAAACAAGTTTCTCATCTTAGATTCCTAGAAAGTGTCTGGCTCAATGCCGAAAGCAGTTTGGGAAGACTTGGAGAGGGGCTAGCCCAGCATCGTTCTTGGGGTAGAGGTGGAGTTGGTCTTACCCAGGCCGACTAGAGGCGATAGAATGGAAGGAACCCTTCAGGTGTCACTGCTGGCTTAAGACACAAGTGACAGCCCTCTGGAAGTCTAGAACTTTGAGGAGTGCAACATGTAGGGATGGGTGTGTGCTGAGTGCTGCCTCTGGCCGGCGGCCTGGCTGTCTGCACTGAGGTCTGGGGCTGAGCTGGGCTCTGTGGGGAGCACTGGTGTGAAGGGTCAGCAGCGCACATCACAGGGGCTGGGTGGGGTAGCTAGGACCCGGGTGTGCATAACCCCAGGGCACCGGCTCCCCAAGTCCCTGCTCTCAGCCAGTGAGAGCTGGCTGGGAGAAAAGGGCACCTGGGAGGGCTGGGAGCACCAACCCTGTTGGCCATCCCTGTGGAGCTGGGCGTGCTTTCTAGGAGAAGCGGCTACAGTGCCTGTCCTTCAGTGGCGTGAAGGAGCGGGAGTGGCAGATGGAGTCCCTCATCCGCTACATCAAGGTGGAAGGTCTCCTAGTGGTCCTGAAGAATGGGCAGGTGAGTGCTCCTCCACGTCTCCCCCAGGCCGATTACCTGCTGATGACCTTGAGAGTGTTCCTAGGGCAGAAGAAGGGAGTCTCCCCTCTGGGGTGCATTGCAGGGTAGCATGGAGTTTAGTTTTGGCCACAGGTCAAAGGCTTTCTGGCAGCGTTGGCGCCATGGCCTGGACTGCATGCAGAGTAGATTAGTGGCCGTGGCTCACCCAGGAGGCAGGAGATTTGCAAGAGCTGCAGCCTCAGTGGATTGCTGAAGGGGAGCCAGAGACCATTACTTAGGCCAGGTCCCTACAGGGCAGGTAGTGGCTTAAAGCCGCATGTCTAGACAATGCTGGGTCCCTGCTAGGTGCTGCAGGAAGAATAGGCTCTCTGGGCACAGAGATGTGAGAAATCTAGGTCACATGAAGTTAAGCAGGTTTGTGTGTGTGTGTGTGTCCGTGTTCTTTGCTCAAAATAAGGAAAGTTAAGTGGGCTGCATGGAAATGTGAAGTGAAAATATAACTGCGTTAGCCCGAGAGCCGAGCTGTCTAGCAGATGGCTTGTGGCTGAGCTCCTTGGGTCTGTTGCAGCCAGACGTCAGGGGACATGACATCACCTGGGGCCTCGAGCCGCAGCCCCGGAAGGAAGCAGGGGCTGCCCCTT